TTATTATTATTATTATTGCCTGCATCATTATATCAGTAGTGCAGCATATTATCTATTGAATTGAAAACATATAATTCCTTTTAAAGAAAACTACACTTAAAATAATTACATTCAAAAGATTGCATTAAAAAACATCTATTGTCAATTTTATCACTCATTTGCCTTTCCATGGCTTACTAAAAACACTGGGAGTAAAGCTTTTCTCTGCTTTATTTAGGTATATTTATATTTATTTACATATAGAATTTTGTTTCTATAGTTGCTCATATCCAATTCCATTTAACTTTTGTTCCAGTTTGCTTCAGAAATAAAGAAAAGTCCCAATTTTTTTATCATTAAATCATCTTGTTATTGTCTGGTATGTACACTACAGTTCCTTTTGCCAATAAAGGTATTCTGTCACTAGAAGCTTTTCAATACTGAAAGGGTTTTCAATATAGTTTTAATTTAGTGTAAGAAAATAAGACAGAAACTCTGAAGTGCTTTTCATAATTTATACTTCCATTGAAAATATCTCTCATAAAAATATAGGTGACTATTTCTTAGCAGGTTAAATAAAAATATTGCTTGTCACAGGAAATTGCATCAAAACTGTGTATTAACAGCATTTCTAGCTAAAACAGTTGTGCACAAAACCAGTTTTAAATGCTGTACTAAATGTGTGACCTGTGGTATAAATATCTAGTATTACAGTGGAAATCATCACTTCTTTTGTGATCTCTGTTCCCGTGTTTCTAGAGTGAGTGACAGTTTGATCTCTGGTAATTAAATCTATCCTTTTGATTCTGATTACTGGTTAGTAAACAATAAAGTGGGGATATATGATTAAAACTTTTTTAAAAAATACCATGCTTTAAAAGCATTGTTTTAAACTTATATCCTAAAGAGGGCCAAATGTACCTTTCAAATATTGTGGGAAAGGCATGGACTGAAAATGAGATATGTAGCACTCACTTTGAATATGTCTTATTTACTAACAGAAATACATTAAAAGACTATAAATTCATAGAGAAATACCTTTATTAAAGTATAAATCATGCATTATTAGTTGGGTAGGGAATGATTTTATTTTAGTGATTGTGAGGTGACTTCAGCACAGAGCTAGATGCATGCAAGCTTCAGATATTCTGGAAAAGCTCTTGGAACAGGGCAGCTCATAGAATAGAATCATAGAATCATAGTGGTTGGAAAAGACCTCTAAGATCACCGAGGCCAGCCATTAACCTATCACTACCAGTCCCTTCTCTAAACCATGTCCAAAAGCACCTCATCTACCCATCTTTTAAATACCTGCAGGGATGGAGACTCCACCACTTCCCTGGGCAGCATGTTCCAATGTTTGACCACCCTTTCAGTGAAGAAATTTTTCCTAATATCCAACCTAAACGTCCCCTGGTGCAACTTGTAGCCATTTCCTCTCGTTCTGTCACCCTTTACCCTGGAAAAGTGACCAACACCCACCTCTCTACAACCTCCCTTCAGGTAGTTCTAGAGAGCGAGAAAGTCTCCCCTCAGCCTCCTCTTCTCCAGACTAAACAACCCCAGCTCCCTCAGCTGCTCCTCATAAGACTTGTTCTCTGGGCCCTTTACCAGCTTTGTTGCCCTTCTCTGAACACACTCCAGAGCCTTGACGTCCCTCTTGTATTGAGGGGCCCAGAACTGAACACAGGACTCAAGGTGCAGCCTCACCAGTGCCCAGGACAGGGGCACAATCATTTCCCTGCTCCTACTGGCCACACCATTCTTGATACAGGCCAGGATGTTGTTGATCTTCTTGGCCACCTGAGCACACTGCTGGTTCATGTTCAGCCAGCTGTCAAGCAACACCCCCAGATCCTTTTCCGCCAAGCAGATTTCCAGCCACTCCTCCCCAAGCCTGTAGCTTTGCATGGGGTTGTTGTGACCCAGGTGCAGGACCTGACACTTGGCTTTATTGAACTTCATGTCATTGGTCTCAGCCCATTGATCCAGCATGTCCAGGTCCCTCTGCAAAGCTTTGCCACCCTCTGGCAGATCAACACTGCTGCCCAACTTGGGACCATCTGTGAACTTACTGAGGGCGCACTCGATGCCCTCATCCAGATCATTGATAAAGATGTTAAACAGAACTGGTCCCAACACTGATCCCTAGGGAACACCATTCATGACTGGGCACCAACTGGACTTAACTCCATTCACCACAACTCTCTGGGCCCAGCGATCCAGCCAGTTCTTTACCCAGAGACGATTATGCTCATCCAAGCCATGAGTGGCCAGTTTCTCCAGGAGAATGCTATGGGCAACAGTGTCAAAGGCTTTACTAAAGTCTAAGTTCACCACATCCACAGGCCTTCCCTCATCCACTAAGCTTGTCACCCTGTCATAGAAGGAGATCAAGTTAGTCAGGCAAGACCTGCCTTTCATAAACCCATGTTGACTGGGCCTGATCCCCTGGTCGTCCTGCATTTGATGTGTGATGGCACTCAGGATAATCTGCTCCATCACCTTGCCTGGCACCGAGGTCAGACTGACAGGCCTATAGTTGTTTGGATCGTCCTTCCGGCCCTTCTTGTAGATGGGCATCACATTAGCCAGCTTTCAGTCATCCAGAACCTCCCCGGTTTGTCAGGACTGCTGATAAATGATGGAGGGTGGCTTGGTGAGCACTTCCGCCAGCTCCCTCAGTAACCTGGGGTGGATACCATCTGGCCACATAGACTTATAGCTGTCTAAGTGGTGCAATAGGTCACTAACCATTCCCTCTTGGATTATGGAGTTGTCATTCTGCTCCTCAGTCCTGTCTACCAGCTCAGGGGTCTGTGTATTCAGAGAGCAGCCTGTCTTACCATTAAAGACCGAGGCAAAGAAGGCATTAAGTACCTCAGCCTTTTTCTCATCCTTTGTCACAATGTTTCCCTGTGTATCCAACAAAGGATGATGACTGTCCTTAGCTCTCCTTTTGTTACTAATGTATTTAAAGAAGCATTTTTTATTGTCTTTTACTGATGTAGCTAGATTGAGTTCTAGCTGGGCTTTGGCCTCTCTAATTTTCTCCCTGCATAGATTCACAAGGTCCTTGTAGTCCTCCGGAGGTGCTTGTCCCTTCTTCCACAGATCATAAACTCTCTTTTTTTTCCTAAGCTCCAGCCTAAGCTCTCTGTTCAGCCAGGCTGTTCTTCTACTCTGCCAGCTCATCTTCCAGCACATGGGGACAGCCTGCTCCTGCACCTTTAAAGGCTCATATAGGAATGCATTAGGCATTAAGTCTCTTACTTTCATTCAAATACTATTTAGGATGCCAGTCTTCTTATTCTTAACCCTTCTTCTTACACTTTGTAAAAATCCACTAGAAAAGTGTAAAGAGAAAAATCTCAGTGGACACTGTCCAATTGTCATGTTTCCCTTAGGGCAAATATTTTGTTGATTATGTATTTGTTAATTTGGAGATTTGATAATTACCTTTAAGACTGACTTGAGTCAGTGGTTTGCATGTCTTCCTACTTAAACACAGTCATTAGCAGAAAAATGAGACAGAACATTATTTTTGTTGTCAGGATGCATGTTTCTATCACAAATATGTCCAAATCAATTGAATTATATCAAATTTTATTGCACATACCCAGCAAGTCCTCTGACCCAGAAAGAGACAACAATAGTTCTTTTGCCCCGTCATGATGTAAAAATTTAAGGATTAATATTTAGTTGCAAAGAATTTAGGAACTCTGATTCTGATTAGGTGCTGTTTACTTCTCATAAAATTCACTGATCTATGTTGATACTAAATCCTGAGTAACCCTTACTGTGGATATAACCCAAACCTTTGAACCATAGCTCAAATATGCAATCCCTTCCTTATTATTTCAGGAATTCTCTTTTATGTCAATTGGCTTGATTTATTTCCCATGTGTGAGTCTGGAAACTACTCCTAGGCAGGTAGGAGAATATTCTGCCTAAACACCTATTTCATCCATATCATCTGCCAGATTTCCACATATTTTCTGAGTGACTAGAAATAACAGAATTGAGCATATCAAAGTACTAATCACTTACCTGAGACAGAATCTATTACTTCATTGCTTTTAGCTTGAAAATTATTATAAGGTACAGGAAAACCCAGTTGGTTTTTCTTTAACTTCACCATTTTTACATGAGCAATAGGTGGCAAAATTTTGAGTTTTGGATAATAAAATGAGTTTGCTGGGTGACTTGGAGAGGAACAAGTGATCTGTGAAATAAAAAGAGGAACCTTAAAGAAACTACATCATATTAGTAAGAAGATAACTGTAAAATCATGTTTATACATCATACAAGTAAAATGCATATAACCAGTTTCTATGAACCTCAGTTCATATAACTATTGTTGGTAATCCCTGAATTTTTATGCATAATGCTTTGAGACTGGGCACAATGAATTGTGCCAGTCTTTGGATAGAAAACTCCAGTGGGAGGTACTGAAAACGCAGGAATGTATGGTATGGTTTGATGGAAAGGAGTGAATGTTATTACAAGGGAGAATACAAGAGTATTAGATAATAATATTGGTATGCTATAGCAGCTGTCGTACGGATATGGGAGGCCAAATGTATTGTTTACACCTTCTCTGTTCCTTCTCTCATTACTCTTTAGCACAGTATTTGGCTCTAGAAAAACTGACCTTAAAGAAAGGATTAACTGAATGCTTGTAGTATTCAAAACACTTGAATCAAACTGCTCTGTTCCCCACCTCCCTTAAACAACAAAAGCTAATTATGGGGTATATAGAGTATCAAGCAAGCAAAAGAGATTTAATGTAGGGTCACCACATTAGTGAGAAAGTTCTCCTCCGCTTTCCCTTAGCTCTTTTCCCTTAAACGTAACAGTTTCAGGATTCAGCAATGCTTTTAACTGAAAACTCCTCCCCCATCAGTATTCAGAATTTTCATGTTTAGATACATGGCCTTTCAATACTTGAGGGGGCCTACAAAAAAGATGGGGACAGACTTTTTAGCAGAACCTGTAGTGACAGGGCACGGGGTAATGGTTTTAAACTAAAAGAGGGGAGATTTAGACTAGATATAAGGAAGAAATTTTTTACAATGAGGTTGCCCAGAGAGGTGGTAGAAGCCCCATCCCTGGAAACATTCAAGGTCAGGTTGGACAGGGCTCTGAGCAACCTGATCAAGTTGAAGATGTCCCTGCTCACTGCAGGGGGGTTGGACTAGGTGACCTTTAAATGTCCCTTCCAACTCAAACCACTGTATGATTCTATGATAGTAATGCCAGGACTTTTGTGAATATTTTTATTTTCCTGGTATTTTAAGAATTGTTAAAAATAATATAAAAATAGTCAGCTTTTACAGAAAATACTATAAATGTAGAGCCAAATTTTCATGAACCATCTGCATTTACCTAATAAATATGAAAGACACAGAAAATAAACAAAAGCAGTAGGGTTATCAGCTATATAATAAATCCATATAGAGAGAGCATCAGCAGTCTCATATACTGAAATCAGTTTCACAAGAGTCTACCATTAAGTTATAGGATAGTTATCTGATAAAGGGAGGACTCGAAATATATATATGAACTACTGAACTATGTATATACACCTACCTCTGTCACTGTGTCCTGTGGAATAGTGGCAAAGTTTGGGGAAGAAAATGTGAAACCACTATCAGTTCCAGCATCATATGGAAATAGATCTACTGATACTTCTTCCATCCAGTGGTCTCTTTCACAGAGATTTAGGCTGTCAATACCCACAAACCAGTCGGGGCTTGGAACAATTCGTACAACAAATGACACCTAATGGAACAAAATTATCCGTCAGGATTGCATTACTTATTTTGAAATGCTCCAGTCCTGCTCATAGTAATTTTAACTTAATTTTTTTAAAGAAATGTCATTATGCTCTTTATAGAATGAGTGTTCCCTCCAATATGACAGGCTTTTTAGTATCTCTTCGCATTATATTATTCCCAGAAGTGGGAATTCAAATATTTAATTTTGTGTGCTAGTGACATAAAATAAACTTTTAAAATTAATATGCAAATTCACTTACTAAGGGATGTCTTGAATGCACTTCTAATTCAGTGGAGGTTTGTCCTGTACCACTGGAAATGGCAGGAGCAGAGAAGATTCCATGTACACTCTGAATTTTCTCTCCAGCTTCTTCTATTTCTTTCATTAATACCCATGCTTCACCCTTTTCAGCAAAATCACGTACACCATTGCTGGCATATTCATTTTTTTTCCACATGCTGTAGTCAGAACTATGAGTAACACCTATTTGAGTGAATACATGGCATGACATAAAAGCCTGGATTAGATTGTCCCTATTTCTTCAATTTCTCTGATTTATTTCTGAGGTTTAAAATAATGTGTATAAAAATGAGTGAACACTAAAACATTTGGCTTATCACTGTTTATTTCAGCTGCAGCCAATTGAAAACAGAAGTCAGTTGAAAACAGTTGTAGATTTTTGAAAGCATTGTGGATACTTCAATTTCTGCATTTAATTCTTAATAACTTTGTCTATTTTTTTCCCTTTTTAATTAATTATCTTAAAACTGACTGTAAAGAAGAAAAAAAATCACAGGGATCAAGAGATTTATCTGTTCTTAAAACTGTACATTCTTCACTTACCTAGCATTGATGACCACTGTGCTGGGGGCCTGTAAAGTGGATACTGCTTAGGGAAAGCAGTCTGACTCCATTTCCCTGTGAAGATTATGCTGTACTTAGCAAGTTCCTCTGCTGTGCAAATAGAATCATCACCCACAGGCAAGCTACTGGCACAACCTAGTATTGTTAGAAGTAATGTCCAGATAACTTTACAGGAGCAGTAGGCAAATGTCAGGTTTTCCATTCCCTTCCACACAAGAAGAAAAAAAAAATTTAGCCATATTAGTCACTCTAAACTGAAACTTGAACAGCAGTTACTTAATAGAATGTAACATACTGTAAGTTATAAGCAAAAAGAAAGTATATATCCGAAACACTAAAAATTGTTATGCTTCTAAAAATATTATTGTAATGCTTACAGATTTTCTATATACTACAAATCTGTAACTCTATCTGAGACAAGTGCTTCCAATGAAAATAAAAATGTCTTAACCTTGTCCATAGTACTACCTCTGAGAAAAATCTGTTTCTGATTTTCTTTTGAAATCTTATTAGAGTCACATCTTGAATTAATTAGAGTAGCAACTGTTTCTGTGGAAAACATTAGTGGTGTATTTATTCTTCTAAAGATTAAATTGCAGGTTACTTTGCCAAAAGAAATGATTTACTTTAAATTTGTGTTCTACAAAGGCTTTTTTATGGTATAACATGTAACGTCAAATACATTTCATATTTATATAAATTACTTTGCTGTCATAACTTGTGCATTAAAAAATACATTGTAATTTCTTCAGATTTTTAAAGCTACATAGTTGATAAAAAATCAGTATTTTTAAAAAAGTTGCTGTCATAGGCTGTGCAAATTTTGTTTTAAAATTAATATGATAATTGCATCAGACTGTTGAACTCCAGCAATTGTTTAAAATAACAGCCTTAAAAACTTATTTTTAAATGCTTTTGTCCTTTGAGAAAACTATACAAATATAACTAGAACACTAACAATATATTAATTTGTAAATAGAGCTGTGAATACTCACTAAATATTTCCTCTGGAGCACTGGAAGGGGGAGAGCACCTGCTTTTGCTGGCAGCTGAGTTGGTCTGCAAGAGAAGACAGTAGGAGTCTTGCTATTTATGCCTGAAGAGGGTCCCTTTGGTCCAACAATTATTGTAATCTTTAGACTTTCCAGGTTTGCAAAAAGCATGCCATCTTCTTGTTTGCAATCTTTTTTGGATGGACTATCAGAGATTTCCTGTCAACTGGTTCAGGTTCCTATCAGAAGACTGTGATGCTGAATAGATGAAATGCTTTAAAAAAATACCTTGAATTCTTAGTAACAGTTTGAGTTTTCTGGTGCCTTTACAGTTCTCTTCTCTTATTAATGCCTCCAAGCTACACAAATGAACTGATTCCAGCACTGAAATAGTTCTAGTGAATACACTTTAAATGAGAAGCATGTTTTCTCCTAAGTTTTATTGTCTGACAGATGCTCCTTCCAAACATTTACAGAGAGCTTGCTCACTCTCACACACCATATGTATGTGTTCAAATAAAAGGGGTGAGGCAGCTAAAAAAGTCAAGAGGGAAAAAAAAGTTGCATTTCATAATTGCACATACTCACACAGACTGTGTCTCCTGCAAATATGAATTAATTTAAAGTAGTACAGTGTATATTTTTGTGTTCTACAGTACCGTGTGCTGGATGATGAAAGGGCTCTGTAACATTGTGGTTTCTTTGGAAAGAGGGGTTTTGGGAAGCTCTGAGATTTTTCTTAGCTGTCTTCAGAGTAAAAACTCCAAATAAAAATCTTATTATTGCAGTTAAATCATACATCCTCCATAGCACAGTACATATATTTACATCACCAAAATCATTTAAATTGTCTATGAAAAATTAGGCATAATAGAGTGACTCAATTGCAAAATAATGTTTAATATTTATTTTTAAATATTTTCCCCATCATCTTTCAAATAAGGGAAAGCAAGGACTTTGTGCCATGCCTGTAAGTTAACAAATGCTATTGTGGCTGATCAACAAAGGAAGTTTAAGTTCTAAAGTTTACAGTGCACCACGAAGAAAGTCTTTCATAGATACTTCTTTTGAAATTGTGAGGAATGTCACTTAAGTACTTCCACAGATCTCTAATACAATGGTACAGCATATGGAAAAACACAAAACAAAAAATAACCAAAGCATTATTTTTCAAATGAAACTCCCAGGCCATCATAGGTATATGGCTTAAGTAAGTGACATGTTATTGTCCACCAGGAGGGAGTTGTCAAGCAACAAGTTTGAGCTTTGTGGGACTTTAACTGGAAATTTATCCTTCCCTTCGTCCTCCTACCCCATGGTAAATCAACAAGAAAAGCCAAGAGATGAATAAATTGGGATGTCTGAAAGCAATTACCATTGATTATTCTCCTGGAAAAATTGAATCTATTGCAAGTTTCAACACAGACAGATTCAGCACCCATAACCCCTATTTCCTGTATATCCGGACAGACTATGGGAATTCTGTAGCAGGTTAAGCCATCTAGACATGGACACACCCTTTATTTCCAAGGTTCCTTCCTCCATCCTATGTTAATGCGATGTTTTCCATAATTTATTTCTGTTCCAGGAGACAGACTCCACTAAGAAAAAGAGCAAAGAGATTTCATGGATACTTTTATACCAGTTCTTTGAGTGTTTGTTGAAGGATGACATTTCAATCATAACCAGCTCACTCCCTCCTATGCACAGAATTACAGATACACAGGTTCCTTAGAGAATTGAGTCTACTTACATCAGAAATGGGTGATCTTTCCAGCTCATGCAGCCCTGTAGAAGAACTATACAAAAGCCCTATAAGTTTTAAAGTATATTGTTCAGAGCATTGTTAATATTACTTAAGGCTTACTTATTTATTACTAAGTAGTTTTAAACTTCAGTAGGTTTTTTTGTTTATCATCACAATACTGAACCAGCAAACTTCACATATTGAAACAGACTGTGACACTTCCAGGACAACACTTAAAATGAGAACAAAGCAATTAACTCTGGATCCAGCACAGAACTATTTAATATATCAAACTAGCCTTTTCCTTTCGAAGAAAAATTACTGCCAAAAGGCACATCACCAGGCTAGATCATTCTGGTTGCATGACTACATGTTATGAATGTATCCAGGAACAGGACAATACATGCAGGCTGCATAATTTGGCACAGTTATTACAACAAAAACTTACTAAATTATAAAAGAAACTGAATCATTGGAAGTCATTAACTTGGGAAGTCATTTGAGGTTTCTAAGTACAGAGTAGACAAACAAACATGAAAAATCACAAAAGTTATAGTTGATTCTTCCTTTGGAATAAGAGTGCTTCATGCTTTGTACGGAACATCCAAGAGACATCCAGTCTTTCTTCTGTGTAATCATTTTATTCTTCTTCTAGAGCTCCGTTCTCCAATTTCTTGAGGTTATCATACTCTTCAACATCAGACATGCAGTTAATTGAATACAACTGAGTCTAGTTATTTTATTTTCCTACCTTACCAGTGTGGGAATGAGATATTTTGACACATTTTAGTTTGAAAAATCAAAGAGAGATTCTTTCCTCAAAGACTGCAGAGATTTACAGGGAAAAATTATTTTAGTCCTTATTCTTGTTCTCTAATCCTGGTCCAAAATGGAGGTTTTCTTCCTTACCATTCCTACACTGGACCCTTCATTGTTTACAATGAGGGCTCTACTGTGACAGATTTCTCAGTATTAAAATCTTCAGGACCCTAAAACCTCATTCTTATCTTTGTAGGATTCACAATGAAATTGTTGCACAAAATAAAGTGACTGTAAATTTATTTCATTATCTTCTCTCCTTCTCTCTCTCTCGCATGGCTGAAGGAGGGGGAGAAAACAGAAAAACATAATGAATAACATTGACAGTAAATGCTAACTTGAGGACTCACAGTCTTATTTCTTTAAATAGGAACTGTGCTAAGCATAATCAGTCTCTGACATTGTGAAGGATATCAAAACAACAAACATATCTCGTGCATAGTAAGAAAAAAAAAAAAAAAAAACAGAAAGAAAACGGATTTCCACTCAATGGATTACTTTCAAGGCTGGGAAGCCACAAATGCCAAATATCTGTGGGCCAGCAGATGGAGAAAAAAATTGCTGTGGGATCAGAACCTATGCTTGCATTCCTTCTTCAGTTTGTATATCCCATTAGAAAGCAGCTGAAAACTCATGGAAAACTGGAAAAAAACACTTCCATTTAGAAACCATCTTGCCAATATACAAAACTGGAATTTTTTCCTTTCTCTTTTACAGCAAAATAGGTTTTGTTTTTCAAGTTTGTGTCTCTTCAGGTACTCCTATTTTCCATCCACATGCATGCCTCTATAGACCCCAAATGCTAGAGAGACGAGGCATACAAAGCTTGTTTTACTTTAGCATCAATGCCAAAGTGTGCCTTGTGTTTAATTATACTTGCAGAAGTGTGCAATTTCTGCTGTTTCTTGTCAATAAGACAACAGTCTTGCAGTTCCTTCAGGTTTTGCCAAGATTCATAGGATGAAAGCTGTAAAATATAAAGCAAAAATTATGTCTAGGCATTTTTGATTTTTAAATAACAGTCATAACTTTGTCTAAAATATTCTGTATTTTTGCTAACCAAAAATAATTACTAAAACAGGAAAACAATGAAAAAACCCCTACTTAAAAATATGGCAGTACAATCAATATCATGTTGATTCTTGAATCATTTACATCACAAGAAAATATTTGTATGAACATGTTTAGGCTGTCACACAGAAACATAGCATATTAAAAGGGTGTCGATTCCATTTTGGTTAGTCAGAGAATAATTTAGCCATTTTTCTTGTAAGCAGCAAGATTGGCATGATTAATTGTGACTTTTCTATCAAACTGTAAGATTAAGAGAAAGGAGATCTAACTAAAATGACTGATCTGAAGTTAGTGTGCCCACCTTTATTCAAAAGAGAAACTCCAGAAATTTTGTATTTATATTCCTGAAGTATCACCAGACATTACAGTTTTACTAAAACAATTTCCATTTTGCTGGTAAGGAGTATATGTGCAACTTTGATATTCACATGCTGTTTAATATGCTTATGACTAGCTAGCAAGAAAAACAGAACATTGTATTACTTAAGAAGGATTATACAGCCATACTTTCTCTCCTGTGGTTACCATGGATACACATACGATTATGGACAGTCAGCAATGCCAAAAGGTTTACATTTAGTCAAAACCCTCTGAGCTCTAAGTTGTAAAATCTCAGTACCAGAGTGGCAAGCAGCAGAATATTTTATCATAGAGAAACTGTGGTGTTGGTTTGGAAGCTTTTATGAAATAAAATATTTGCATAGGAGAATAAAGCATTCCCAATATTGGATGGTACAACAGTAGTGAAGGCAGCTTTAATCTCTAGTTATCTTTTAAGATAAAAATGTAGTTTGCAGATTAAGGTACCTTAAAATGAGCCTATACACATGAACTGGATATGTAAACTGCCACTATATAAAATGGAGGTCTACTTGTCGTAGTTGATGGAATCTAGAGAACTGTTCAGCTCAACCTTTAATCCATACCTATATTTGACCAAATGAATAACTGATGAGTAGCTCTCTGGTCTCCACTAACTGTATTGATAAGCTCTCCATTGATCAGACAGCTAGCTCTCATGTAAGCATCTATACATAAGTAACTGATTCAGGCATTTCTATCTTTTGCTGAATCTCAAGCCAAGTGGACTTCATTAGATATTCTCACTGATAACTATAATCAAGGTGCAACCTGCTAGTAGGGTATTGCAACTTCACTCTGTATTTTGAGTTTAGAAATTCCCTTTGTAAGTGTGTGGGGTTTGGGGTTCGTGGAGGCATGATTTTTTATTTTATTTTAAATTCAGGGCTCACTGAGAATTCAAGCCAAGATAAGGAAACATATAAGGAAAAATCCCAGTTTTATTGACAACAATGACATTGATCAGCAACAAAAAACTCTTCTGTCCTCTCCTGCCTCCTTCCTGTACTATGGCTATTGCTTATGATAGGTATGAAGCAGACAAGGCTTACAAACTCAGGCAGCTCCTTTATCACAGAATTATAGAATGGTTGAGGTTGGAAGGGACCTCTGAAAGTCATCTAGTCTAACCACCCTGCTCAAGGAGGGATTCCTAGACCACATGAACCAG